AATGCCAGCCTCACATGCTCAAGAATCATGAGCCAGGCCCTAAAAACAATGAGATTGTTCTGCCTTTTGATTTTTGAACTCCCTCCTTTCATCCCCAATTTGTGTGTAGCAGTTACAGTTTTACCAACTCCTCCCAATTTATATAGTAAGGTAATTTGGCCCCATTCAGGAGCTCTGGGTGAAGGACCCAAATGAGCTCAAATTCTAAAGCTGTGTGTAAAAGGCTGCCTGATCTTGCAGCATTCTCCTAAAACTCTTCATATATAATTAATTATTTCTGTTCCCAATTCCACAACTGTCTGTCCCCCAACCCAGCAATGATTTATGCACACACACCCCAACTTCCACCTCCATTTTAACCTGTCAGCCCCACCATCTGTCTCTTGTCTCTCTCAGAAATGCAAGACTGGAAGATACTTCAAGAGATCTAGTTCAGTCTGCTACACTGTGGCAGAATTAAGTATTATCTAGACCACTGCTTTTCAATCTTTTTGATAGTAGAAACTTGCTTGTTGTCTTCTAAACTGTGTCAGGGAGTGCTCAGGACCAGCGCTGGTCCATGGATTGGTCACTAAGAAATGCTAATATCTGACAGGTGTTTATCTAAAACATCCAATGATGGAGATTGTACAATTTCCTTAGGTAATTTGTTCCAGTATTTTATTGCCTTTTCTACTGGGAAGTTTTTTCTGATGTCTAACATAAAGTTTCCTTGCCGCAGTTTAAGCCAATTACTTTGTCCTATCCTCAGTAGATAAAAAGAACAATTTATCACTTTCTTTTTTTTATAAGGGCCTTTTACATTTTGAAGACTTATCATGTCCCTTCCTCCTCCTGCTTTCCAGACTAATCAAAGCTAATGTTGTCAATCTTTCGTTGTAGGTCATGTTTTCTAGATCTTTTATCAATTATGTAATTCTCCTCTGGACATTCTCCAGTTTGTCCATATCATACTCGAAATATATTGCCCCAAAGTGGGCACAATATTCCAGTAAAGGCCTTATCAGTGTTGAGTATAGTGGAAGCATGTCTTGCTTACAATACCCTGCATTGAAAGCCATTCTATTTATTTCAGATCTTTTCTCCAGTTTGCCAAGATCATTTTGGACTCTGCTTTTTAGGAGAGGATTATTCTCAACAACTCCAAGCTTGGTAACACCTGCGAATGGTGCAAGTGAATTCCCTATCCCATTCGCCAAACAGTTATAAAGGAATTCAATACAACCAGACCCAGACAGATCCGTAAGGGACCCCATTCAATATGCCCTTCCAGCTTAACTGTGAGTCATTGATAACTACTCTTTGAGTATGGTTTTTCATTTTACAGTAGGGTTCATCTAGGCTATATTTCCGTAATGTGTTAATGAGCAGGTCATGTGAGACCGAATCAAAACCTTTAAAAGTAGAAACATGTCACATTTATTGCTTTTTCCCTATACACAAAGCTTGTTACACTGTCAAAAAAGGATTGGGTTGACATGATTTGTTCATGACTAATCTAGCCTACCTCTTATCACCTCTAGGTGCTTACAAATTGATTGTGTAATTATTTGTTCCATTATCTTTCTTGGTACTGAAGTTTGGCTTACTTGTCTGTAATTCCCCGGGTTGTCTTTATTCCCCTTTTCATCAATAGATACCACATTTGCTCTTTTCCAGTCCTCTGTGATTTCTCCCATTCTCCATGAATTCACAAAAATAATTAATAGATCAGAGATCTCATCAGTCAGCTCCTTACGCGTTCTTGAGGTGTATTTCATCAGACCTTGCTGACTTGAAAACATTTAACTTGTTTAACTATTTATTTAACTTGTTCTTTCCATATTTTAGCCTCAGAACCTACCTAATTTACTGTCAGTTGTCCAATCACTACTGGTGAAAACTGAAACAAAAAAGGCATTTGATACTTGAGGTATCTGCATGTTCTGTTAATCTTTCCCTCCACATTGACAGATGAGTCTACTCTGTACTTCCTATTACTCTTGCTTTGACAGTATGTACAAAATGTTTTCTTGTTAGCCATTATGTTCTTAGTTTAAGCACATTTTGTGCTTTGGTCTTTCTAATTTTTTCCCTACATACTGTGTTCTTCTATACTCATCTTTCATAATTTGCCCCATTTTACACTTTTTGGTCTGAAATCATAGAAGACTCTTGGGTTAAACTAGGGTGGTCTCTTACTGTATTTCATCTCTTTCCTATGCACTTGACACTTTGAGCTTGTGCACTAAACTATATCTCTTTAAAAAAACTGCCAGATCTCCTGAACTCTTTTTTTCCCCCAAGAACAGCCAAGTTCACTTCTGTTCTTGAAGATCCCACGATTCTTCACACCCACCCCACATGACCTGGAGGACAGCTGCAGGAAAGTCTTTTTCTCCTTCTTCCCAGGTTGGTACAGAAGGAATGGAGATATACCTGGAAGGAAGGGCAGAAGAAGAAGAAAGCAGACTGGCCCCACTATTCACAGGAGGAGAGGAGGGATGAAAGAGTGGAGGCTTCTGCTACTTTATGCATCCTCCCCTCCTGTGAGAATAGTATCAGATGTTTCCCCCTTCCTCCACCCAAACAGTCCTTTCACTCTTTACAAGACAACAGAGAGAGAGGCTGATCTCCTGCAACAGAGCTGATTGGCTCTTCTTGCCCAGGAGGCATGGAAGTGGAAAAAACAGACAATCAGACAGAGCTTGCCCCTTGGCAGGGCTGGAAATAACTTGAAAGCTGTGCCTTCTGGAGCAAAACTAGGACTAAAACCAGGTCACAAGCTATGAATTCACAAGAGTTGGCAACACTATGAAGGCTCAGGGCAATCTTAGCTACAAGGGGTGCTAACAGCTCCACATATAATACAGCTAGATTCTGATACTTAGAACCCTGCAATTCCACTAATATCCTCTTTATATTTGTATCCACATCCAGAGAGATAGATGATCATTTTGTAGATATGGATGAGGATACAGATACAAATTTTGTATCCACGCAGGGCTTTATTTACACGCTTACTCACAGAGTAGTACTTTATTCTTTGTATAGTCCCACTGAGTATGCTATGACTTGAGGTTAAAATTAATTTCTTTGAATCACCGTTTATCTTCAAATACTGGGGCACAGAATCATTTATTTTATAACTCACCAGATTAAATGCATTATATCAGATGTTAACAATAATTTATAATAATGATGGATGAAAATTCATCATTCATTTCATCATAGTTAGCAATTATACTAAAAAATCTTTCAGAAACCAACTTTCTGTTCGACACACAAAGATTAACTCCCCCAACCTTCCAAAAGCAATTTCTACAACACATTTTGTTCTTCCAAAACAGGGTCATTGGTCCCACTTTATCAAAGTAAAAAGTTGGTATTTGAGGAAACATACGCCTTTTATAAAAGAGGAGCCCATATCATTGTGCTTACTGATGATAATAATTTGAAGAAAAAAGTGTGATAGTACATATCTACACATACAAGCTCTGTAACTTGCTAACCTAGGGTATGTCTACACTACAACGCTAATTCAAACTAACTTAGTTCGAATTAGTTAATTAGAACTAAGCTAATTCGAACAAACGCATCCAAACTAAAAAACTAGTTCGAATTAGCGTTTTGCTAATTCAAACTAGCATGACCACATTAAGTGGACCCTGAACCGGGGTTAAGGATGGCTGGAAGCAGTGCCGGCAGGGCATCAGATGAGGACTTAGAGCGTGGAG